GGCCCATGCAGTGCAGCTGCAGCTCGTAGTGCGTAGAAGCATCGTCTTCCTCTCAACTCGTAAAAGGGCAGACCTGTAATAGACACGACTGTACATGTGCATGAGTCCCACAACCGACGCACGTGTCGGTCATCATCCACCATCGGGATTTGCCGTGTCAGCACATCGTGAAAGCACATCGTCCGCGAACAGCATAGGTGTAAAGTAAAGCTTGAACGACTCCAACACGGGCGTATTTACTTCTTCCGCTCTTCCTCGGCCCTGCTTCGCCGCCACGACCACGCCCTCGCACCTCTTATATGTACAAGCAACGCGACGAACAACCCGGACAAAGGAGCTTTTCGTTCTTCGGAAACCCTTTCCTCCCCCTCCCCCGCTCCATACTTCAAGGTGCCTTAATTGGTGCATTCGCTCCCGATGCTCTTTACGCTCCGTACGCAACCTGGCCCATCGGCCTGTCCTCCTCCATGCCGGGCGCCATAAAGTTGGTCCTCGGGTCGCCGGTGGCCTTGGAAGCCGAAACACGGGCCATCGTTGGTGAGCTGTTCATCGTGTTAGCAGTGACTTGATCGAGGCGAGGGCACGGATTCCGACTTACCTCCTCGAGATGACGTCTGTGAAGTAAAAGTTGTCGATGACCTTCTTGAGAGGGGCACCGGTGGGCTTGGCGCCCTTGTTCTGGTCTACCAGCTGCACCTTGCTGAGCTGCTGCAGAGAGACGGGCTCCACGACATCATAGGCGGCCAGCGCAGGGCTGATCTCGGCCATGCGGTCACGGACCTGGGACACGTCGTCATACGTCAGGGGGACGCCGAGGAACTCAGAGGCGGCACGGAGGATCTTCCAATCTGTCCTGGAGGCACCGGGGAGCGAGGTGGCGGCACGGGTCATCTGAACACGGCCCTCGGTGTTGATGTAGGTGCCAGCCTTCTCGGTGTAGGCGGCGCCGGGCAGAACAATATCGGCGATCTCGGCACCGCGGTCACCGTGGTGGCCCTGGTACACGACAAAGGCGTCCTTGGGAATGTCGGCAGCGTCGAACTCATCGGCACCAAGGAGCCAGACGAACTTGGGCTTGGTCGCAGCAACCTCGGCCGAGGGGGTGACGAAACCAACCTCAAAAGCACCAGCCCTCGAGGCGGCACGCTGCAGAACGTTGTAGCCGTTCCACTCGGGGGTGATGAAGTTGGCGGCGTTCTTATCGACAAAGGTGCCGACGGTCTCGTAGAAGGCCTTGGCGTCAGCGTGGTCGGTGACGCCAGAGCCGACGATGATCATGGGGTTCTTGGCAGCCTGGAGCTTCTTGCCGAAGGGGCCGCGAGAGCCTTCTCAGAGCGGCGTGGTCGGTCCGAGGTGCTCGAACTCGAAGGTCGAGTCCCATGTCTCGCCAACAACGCCAATCTCGAGGTCGGAGCGCAGCCACTGCTTCCTGATGCGGGCGTTCAGGACAGCGGCCTCGTGCCTGGGGTTGCTGCCGACAATGAGGATGGCGTCAGCCACCTCGATACCGGCAATTTGCGAGTTGAAGAGGTAGTTGGAGCGAACGTCAACACCGTGGGAGATGGGCTGGCTGCCGGAAAGGCATGTCAAGGGCGAGGTTGTCGGAACCGAGCTTGTTGGCCCAGGTCCTTCATGACAACGAGGGACTCGACCTCGGTCAGCTCACCGGCAATGGCCTTGAACTCGTTGGCCTTGGGCTGGAGGGTCTGGTAGGCGCGGCCAATCTCGGTGAGGGCCTGCTCCCAGTCGGCGGGCTCGAACTTGCCGTTGCGGCGAACGAGGGGCATGGTAAGTCGCTGGGTCTTGAGGCCGTCGCAGGCGAATCGGGTCTTGTCGTTGATCCACTCCTCGTTGACGTCGTCGTTGAGCCTAGGCAGGATACGCATGACCTCCAGTCCCCTAGAGTCAACGCGAATGTTGGAACCGAGAGCATCGAGAACGTCGATGGATTCGGAGTGCTTCAGCTCCCACGGCCTCGCGCGGAAAGCGTAAGGCTTGGAAGTCAGGGCACCGACGGGGCACAGGTCGATCACGTTGCCGGACAGTTCGGTGTTCAGGCTCTGCTCGAGGTAGGTACCAATCTGCAGATCGTTGCCACGGCCGATCGAGCCAAGCTCGGGAGCACCGGCGATGTCGTTGGCGAATCGGACGCAACGCGTGCAGTGAATGCACCTGTTCATGGACGTCTTGATGAGAGGGCCAATGTTCTTGTCCTCGACAGCACGCTTGCCGCCAATCTCGTGGAAGCGGCCCCTGTCGCCACCGTATCGCATAGACTGGTCCTGAAGATCACACTCGCCGCCCTGGTCGCAGACGGGGCAGTCGAGGGGGTGGTTGGCCAGAAGGAACTCCATGACACCCTCGCGAGCCTTGTGGGTGAGAGGCGAGTTGGTCTTGACGACCATGCCAGGCTGGACGGGCCAGGCGCACGACGCAACGGGCTTCGGGGCCTTCTCGACTTCGACCAAGCACATACGGCAGTTTCCGGCAATCATGAGCTTCCTGTGTGTATTTGTCAGATTTCGATTCGAAGGGAATTTCGGACGGGGTTCGGTAGGCAACGGGATCGATCGTACTCATGGTAACAATATCTACGCAAACGTGTCAGCAAGGATTCTCGCATGAGGTGATGGCAAGGGAGAAGCATGTTGGGGACACATACCTAGGAATGGTCACACCAGCCTTTTCGCAGGCTTGGATGAGAGCAGAGCCAGCTATCCCTTTTGGTCAGCAAAAGACGACTCGCCTGGCAGGCCACATGGTCTTAATCACCTTCTATCGAAACCTTCTTGCCATCTAGTTACGGGTCAGCTACTTTGTCAAGGCCAATTGGATGGTCGGGATGGCGTTTTCATACCAATTGTGAGCTCGACTTCGGCATTTCGCTGGGTGGTGGAGGCAAAGGTGCGCGAGGCATTGGCGGCCTGCCGGCCAGTCCGCCAAGCCGAACGAGCCAGAGTATGCCGGAGCATCGTGTCGCCCTGACGGAGTAGAGGTGTAGATGGCGAACGGGAGGGGTGTTCGGCGGGAAGGGTGGGAGGCAAGTCGTGATGTACAGGTCGTCAGGTCGTTGACGTCTCGAGGAATCCGGATGCTCTCCGGGTCAGTTTGGTGGCGCTAGCGTCGCGATTAATTTACATCAATGCTGATTGGTCCACCGGCTTTGTGAGCACACGGCTGCCTGAGGCCATCACGAGGAGCTCCACCCGCCGCCCATATCACTGCAAAATTTCCGTGCGCCGCGACGTATGGCTTTCTCTTTTCCTCTTTTCTTCCTTAGAATTGTTTGGACTCATTTTATCGTAGGAAAGCTTGCCCGCGCTGTTCTGCAGCGTTTCACTCGAGCCTTCCTCTATCTTGTGTCCTAGACGAATGCAACACGCCGATTATGGAAGCATGGGAGAATACCTCAATGACCGCTGCCTCTTACCGCCGGTCGTTACATACCAAAGTGAAGCCGTGATTGAATGCACTTGAAGTCACCTTGACGATGTCTGCAGACTGTTGTGATCAATGCCAATTCCTGGCGTTGATATGCCATAACGTAGGGGGAAAAGTGCCTACGTCACTGCCGACCGCTGAGGCAGTGTGATTCTGGCCCAGCTCTACAATATCCTGGAAGCATCTCTCGGGGTGCGGTCAAACGAACCGCTCAACTGGGTGCTCCTGAAGGATCCCGCGAGTTGGAGCTGGTCTGGCATTCATCTGCGTCCATGGTTGGTCGGATGCATCAAGCACGCTGTTTCCTCGTGAGACCTGATCTAGTGAAGTCGCTCACCATCAGCCATCAGCTACAACTGAGACAGTCCCCTCAGCACCCGTGTCGCCTAGCCCCTCTGGCAGCAGCGAGTCATACAGCTTCTGAGTCGTTGTCAGAACCAATCCAGAATAGACATAACAACTCGATGGGCAAGGTGAGTATCTCGGGTCATGTATTGTGCCTTCAGTATAAGCTTGACAACACCAAAATGCATCAGAAAGCAGCAATGGCAAGCACCATTCTGCATTTATCCTACTCGCCCAGTCAACCGGCAGAAAGTTCGTCTTTAGTGAACGCAAGTGATAGTAAACACACAACTGATACACTTGTCTCACATGAGGTAGACGCAATGGAAACGAGGCATCTTGAAAGTAAAGTATCATTGCTCATGTGTCACGCCGGCTTCTCGTCTAGAATTTGACTCGGCAAGATCCTAGGTCATCCACTTACATCAACTGCCATACTTCAGCTCGGCCTGATCATACACAAGCTTCCATCCAGGCATTTCATGGGAACGGGCATTCCGGGATCGTGCCTTCGCTACCACCTAAGCCACGACAGCCTCTTATACTCCACAGAGATAGTGCAGGGTTATGCCAACCACATCGGTCTTGAATGGCAACATTTAGTCCTCCGATCCAGTTCAACTCTCCGTATTCCCCAGACTTCGAATCTCTTGGCTCTGAAAACGCCTCGAATTCCGTGTGTTTTGGTTCCGGAAAATGTCAGGACATGGGACCCGTTACTCCAACGTTTGATTGAAACCTCGCACTCTGCATAGGTAGTTGCGGGCTTCTTAGCCTAATTGAGCCCCGTTCCTCGCCCTCTAGTTGCCGATAGCCGGTTCCCGCTTTGCCCACGACCAATCGAGCACCACTTCCCAGGCACTCACCTTCCTGAAGTGACAAGTCTGCCGTTAGCTCAGCACGTGGGTTTGGGATTGAAGGTTCAGTGATAAGATGTGGTTGGGATGTGAGCCGATCTGCCGGCGCGAGGCGTTAGCACGAGGCGATATCTACGACTCTGAATCGTGGGCAATGACAATCCGGCAGAAGCTGGGCCTAGCGTCGCATGCAATCAGCGTCTATATCGGCGGAGGCCGACGTCGATGGCCCCTGAACACGATGCCTATAAGTTGAATCGTGCCGACAGGCACTCCAGTGACTGTAGATCGTCAGTCCGAGAGCGCAGTATATTGGTCCACGTCGGTTCTCACTCCTCTTCAACATGCACACGCGAAAGTCCATTTTCAGTGCCAGTCTGGCCATGAGCGGCGCTTTGTCTGCGAACTCACTCCTCTGCCCTTCAGATAACCCCCAGAGCTGCCACAACACGACAGCTTTCGCGAACGCGTGCTGTTTCAGTGCTCCGGGAGGCCAGATCCTGCAAACACAATTCTGGGACAGCAACCCCGCCACAGGCCCGGATGATTCGTGGACCATCCATGGCCTCTGGTATGTCATTCGCAGAATCAACGTCGACACGTCTCTGACTTTCACAGGCCGGACAACTGCGATGGCACGTACGAGCAGTTCTGCGCCCCCGAGCGGGAGTACACTAACATCACAGCCATCTTGGCTGCCGAGTCTCCGTGCTCACTGAAATACATGGAGACGTTCTGGAAGGACCAAAACGGCAACGACGAAAGCTTTTGGGAGCATGAGTTCAACAAGCACGGCACGTGCATGAACACGCTGGAGCCGAGCTGCTACCCAGGCTACACGCCTGGCCAGGAGGTGGTCGACTACGTCAAGAAGACCATTCAGGTGTTCAAGACGCTCCCATCTTACGAATGGCTGAAGAAAGCTGGAATCGTCCCGTCGGAGACCGTGACCTACACCCTGGACCAGATCCAGACTGTCCTCACCGCCCACCATGGCCACAACGTCATTATCAACTGCAACAAGAATAAGGAGCTCAATGAGCTCTGGTACCACTTCAACGTCAAGGGGTCCATTCAAACAGGCGTGTTCGTACCTGTAGACCCCGTCGGCTCGCCTTCGTCTTGCCCCAAGGAGGGAATCAAGTACCTGCCAAAGAAGAAGGCTGGAGCAACAACCCCGGCTGCCACGACCACGGCGGCCTCTACCTTGAGCACCGTTCTCACATCCGCGGCCGGCTCTACTTCTACTACCGCAAACCCATCCTCCATCTCTGGAAAGGGCCACCTTTTCGCAACCTCGTCTGGCGTGTCGAGCCCCGGCTTCCTCGTCTCCGGCGGCAACTGGTACCGCGGCGGCGGCACCCCGGCCACCTTCACGGCCACACCTGCTGCGGGGGGTTCATTCACTCTCACCTCCAGCAAGGGGAACTGCGCTGTGCAGGAGAACGCGTCGCTGCTGTGCGCGTCCTCTGTCGCCACTGGGTCCTCGTTCGGCTACGACGGTACGTTCTTGACGTACGCCGGCGCATCTGTGTTCTACACTGCCGAGGTCCCGGCTGGAAACACGCAGAGCACCGTCTTCACGAAGGCGAATGCTGTCACTCTGCAGTTCACGTGGACCGCGGCGTAGCTGGATCACCGGAAATCACTTGTAGACATCGTGTAGGACTTTGAGTAGTCACTGTGCAGCTGTCGAAAAGATGTTTAACATGAGAGCTTGCGGGAAGCAAAAAAAAGGGCTGGATCGCTGGGTAACCATCACAGTACATATCATAAGTAAATAAATGCACCAGGATTCTGAACATGATAGAGAGGCTTCACTAAACGGCCGATGGCAGATAGTTGCGCTTGATTCCCAACATTTGGCTTGCCGGTGCGCGGTGCTCGGCATACAAGCGACCTAGAATACAGTGCCATCGCTTTTGATGAGGATGGGGCTTGACTTGGTTTGCGGTCGGCGCTGCGCCGCGACCTCACGCCCAGACTTCCAGGTGCCGGCCTCAAGCAGTTGAGCCATGCTCAGCTGCACGCCCTCGCCCATGCGAGACGGGAGTCTACCGTAGAGCAGATCGATCAGCACGAGTGTCATGGCCCTCCACTCGACGATGACGTCGTCCCCCGCTTCGAATAGCGGGAGTTCCTCGCCCGACGCCGCCAGACCTCGCTCGAGAGTCTCCTTTTTCAGGACGAGCACGCCCATGTCCACGAACAAACCGCCGTTTCGGTATTCTGGCAGGGCGGTCAGGCAGTCTGCGTTGGTCCACTCTAGGCCCAAGACCCTCTGGAATGGGACCATGAGAGAGTAAGTGAGCCACTGTGTGAGCTTGTGAAAGGGTTGGATGTTTTCGGCGGCCGCATCGGAAGCGCCTGGTGCCCCGCCCGTTCGCAGAGTGCTCAAGGGCCAGGCATCCCCAATGGGCGTGCCGCCGATTGTCGTCCGATCTTTCGGCCACGCAGGAATGAGGAGTGTCTGCAGTACATCCCAGAGGAAAAGAATGTCAAGTTTGGCATCGCCTGAGGCCTTGATCAGATAGTCTATGGAAACCATTAGCCATGAAGCATGTTCCGTTAATACTAGAAAGGCGAATGTTTACCAACTAGCAGACCTGGTCGGCCTGATTCTCCGAACACGTCGGGATGGGCGAGCAGTGACTGTCCAAGGCTCCTGAGGAGGGCGGCACGTGAGTCGACGCCTAGCATAGGGTTGTCGTTGGTTACCTGGAAACCCTCTGCGAGCGCACTCGTCTCCAATTGCTGCAAGCCCTTGCCTGACAAGCAGTATTAGTTCAAGGTCAACAAGATAGCATATGGTGAGTGTGGTGGTGGGTGGGGTTACCGTCGACTATCGGAGCAGATGCATCCTTCGATCCAGTGAAAGCCAAGGAGTTGAACATGTGCAGGCTGGCTACCGCGATACCCTCGCTTCGCTCGTAGACCTCGCCCGTCTCAGCCTCTTTGTACCGCCAATGATCACCTGCGCCAGCATCGAGAAGTACGGAGACGAAGAAGAGGTCAATGAGGCGGCGGGTCAGCTCCTTTTCATCGCTGCCCTCGTTCGTCCACTTCTCGATGAGTTTGGCGATCCGTGGTACATTACCGACCTCGAAATGCTGCCAACGGCCGTGAGGCGGGATCGTGTGGAATCTGTCGGGACCAAAGTCGCGCTGGCATCCATTCGTCAGATTGCACAAGATGTATTCAAAGGATCTTGAATGCCAACCTTGATGACAGAGGCCACAAAATCGACAACATCATCCAGCTTGTCTTCCCGAAGATCAAAATGGCTTAGTTTTCCGGCCTTGGCAACATCTCCAACAATCTTGGCGCGCTCGCGGACTGCGCGGAGAGAAAGGAGGTATTTGATGTCTGAACTCATGTTGAAGGAAATACTGAGATGAGTTCAAGCCGTCTGGTCACGTTGGCAGTGACGATGTATTAGTAGCGAGCGTAGGGGGACCCCGCACTTGGCTGTCAAGATAAGGGGGCAGTTCCCCGGGCAGGTCGGGCAACTCCGAACACCACCATAGATAGCTCCCTGTAGCGGCCGTGTCTCAGGTGCTGGTGGACACCGCCAGCGTGCACCCTTTTGCTGGTGATGCCCAACGACGACCTAACCCAGATGTGACACCAAGTCTCACCAATAGAGGATGACAGAGGAGCCAGCCGACTTGTCTAATTGAGGTCTGTTTCTCAGGCACACTCCAGCTCGCACGGCACAATGGAATTTCCTGTGGTGCAAGCCAGCGTCTCTAGCATTCTCAGCTGTCAAGTCTTTCTCCGGGACACGAACATGCCAGCAGCAGAAACTGTACGATCGCGTCGTGATAACGACTTCTAAGCGCTCTCGGTGCGTCGTCGAGCTTCTTCCTGTGCTGTCCGCGTCTTCGATGCCCTTTCTCTTCCTTCCTCAGCCTCAAGCTGTTTCTTGTAAACCTCCCTTACTTTGGCCATCATGCTGTCGAATCCATCGAGGTTGCTCATAGCACCCTCAGCCGTCGTCAGCAGCTGGTGCACTGTCTGCTCTCTTGCCGTTCGTGGCCACTGGCAAAGAGTAACGGGAGGCAACGGGCGGTGCACCCCATAATCCCGCGTGGGATCCTTAGGCGCCATGACGTTCTGCATCATCATGTCGACTAGACTTTTGTCCAGCGGCGGCGGGGTCTGGGCGCCTTGCGCTGCCTCGTTCATGCGTGCGGCCTGCAGGACGCGTTGCTGCTCGCGGCGGAAGAGAAAGATGATGTTGGCCTTCACATCTTCTGCGTGACTGTCGATGCGCTGGATGACGAGTCGGAGACGATCCGCTTCGGTCTTGGGATTGCTGACAGAACTTGTGAGGATTGACTCCTTGAGTGGGACGAAGATCGCTGGTGATATGCTGTCGAGAGGCGGGATGAGGTCTTCGTCAATCGACGCTGCGGGGCCTCCACCGTTGCGCGAGCTGTATGAGCGACGTGGTGAGAGAGGGCCCTCGTCGTGACCCTGAGCGTTGTGTAACGACATGAGCGGAGGAGCCAACAGAGGGCTGCCCAAAATTGCAAAGAAGGCGGGGGAAGGCAAACGACTGTGCCTTAATGATGATATGTGCGATGACCGTATGCCTTAAGTGCGACAGAGTTCGACAGCAGCGGAGTAATTTTCCAAGAACAGCATCCTCAGGCGTATAGCTTGAGAACAACCAAATTGAAAAAGGTCGACCAGAAGGCCCTCAAAGACCGACCATGGCGTTACGTCGTTCGAAGACTCGATGTGATACTACCCTTCTGAAGTTGGAAGGAAGTAAGTGAGAGTTTGTTAGAGATGGTCAAGGCCAGGACGGAACCAAAAAGTGGAAACAGGCTTGTCGTATTGGGCAGGAGTGCTCCTGAAGACACCTGCAACGCATCTCACAGATACCAAAACCGAACGCAAAGACCATCAACACAACATAATCATAATGCTCGCTACAGAAACCTTCCTGATGAACTCTTATCTATTCATCAGTCTAATGCACTCAGCCAGTACTTGGAATACTTAGACATGTGATTGTGGTAATGTTACAACGGATCAAGTCCAACGAAACACACCCCTCCGACGACAACAACCCGGCGACTGGTGCAGGTTCCCGTCCAATGTATCCTAACCAAACAAAAAAGTCGCACGTGTGTGTAATGGCTTCTCTCCTGGCACGAGCGAGGACCCTCGCTATTATCAGCAAGTCCTTAGTCTGCAACACACTTGGGACTGGTGCATGCCTGTGCCTGTTTCTCGTGTAAGTCTGCCTCCAGTGACCGGATTGTCAAGCTTTAGGCAAGACGACTGGGGACAACGATAGCTCGCAGCTGTCATACGCAGCCAAACCGGAGACCCTGTCGTCAAGCTCAACCGTTCTATCCGATGCTCTTTCATCCTTTACTGGCATACCAGGCGGTAGGTCTGGAGCTCGAACTAGCCAAACCAGGATCGACTGGCAGAGGTGCGCCAAGCTCGGAAGCTGGCATGCTGTCTGTATATCGTTTGTACTCGCGGTACAGGCTTAGTGATTCTGGGGAAGTCGGTCGGGTCACGCCCTTGAGGCGCGCCTGTTTGATGGTCGGCATGAACTTGGTGGGTCTACGCCGTATAGTATCTCGGGTGGCGTCGCGTGCTGCTGCCCGCACTCAGGCGTAGTCAAGCAGACGGAGGGGAGCGGGATTCACAACCACCCCACAGCCCGGACGTTGGAGATGATCTCCGTATGGGCGCCTGTGAAGAGGAACCCAGGACGTCACCTTGATGGGAGGACGTTCCGCACGTACTCCCGGGCCAGTTTGAGACCAGCACGGACGAGGTCCTCAAGCCGCCGGTCCTTTCGCTTCCGCATCCACAGCAGAATGAAGGCCAGGAGGATAATGTCGATAGCAAGATGCTTCATGATCATCCAGACCAGCCATCCCAGCCAGGCGGGGATGCTTCGCTCTTTTTTGAACCTCCACTCTCTTCCTGTTGTGATCTGCTCGCGTAGAGCCGCTACCTCGGCTGACATTTTGACCAGCGCATTCTCGACGCTCCGGGACCATTTCGAGCTTTTCTTCGGTGCATCATCTTCTTCCTCGCCGTCTTCCTCTGCAATCGCTTGCCGTCGTGACTCCCTTTCCGCGGCATCGTCTTCGCTCATTGGGCTCAGTACTCTGAGCGGCCCTTCGGTTCCACTTGTAGGCTGGGTGAATCGACGGCCGACAAATTGGTCAGATCCTTTCGACGACGAGGCGCTGGGGCTATTATTCTTGATTTGATTCCACACAAATTCGAGTTCGGCAACGAGTTCTTTCGCGTCTCTGATCATGGGTTGTTAGCCGTGACCTCGGGCCGAGGGGGGTGGAGGTGAGGAGGAGCAGGTATGGCTTACGGTGTCGTGGCGTAGCGATGCATCGTCTCAATCAGAGCCTCGATGTACCGCCTCTTTGCCTCCGTCTTGCCCAGGCCACTCTGTGCGTTCCAAGCATCCCACTTGTCCTTCTCCCGCTGGAGCTCGTCGCCGGACAGCCCCGCGCCAGCAGCGGGGCGTTCCATGACGCCATCGACGTCGCCCTCCATGGCTTGCTTGTAGAGACCGTAGAGCCGGAGTCTGTCGGAGGGTGGTGGCCGGGAGGCACCGGTCTTTGGTATCTTCTTGACGGTGTTCAAGGCGTGGACGAACACGCGATCTGCCCGATCTTGTTAGCCTGGTTCTTTTCAAAATGGGGGGCCCGTCGAGATGCAGGCGGATGCGAAGAGAGACTGGACACTCACCTACTGAGTCGGCCATGATGGCGACTTGAAAGAACAGACACGGTTGTGATACAAGAGCGCGATCAGTGCGGACGTTTGGTAAACAACCGATGAATCCGAGAGCCGAGGTGACGGCAACCGTCAATGCGGGACGCGTAGATAACGATGGGTGGGATAGATGTGGTTTAGGTGCACGATTGGCTTGGAGTCGCAGACTCTGTCGATGTAACCAGGAATTGGTGTATTAGAAAGATCCACATGCTAATGGGAGGATAGGAATTATGAACGCCTTTGCAACAATCAAAAGGAGAGGATCCAAAGTGTTAGATCCCCCCGGACATGTTCTGTGCCAGGGCGGGCCGCAGGCCCCTGTAGCTTTGCCCCAACAAGCAGGCCACTTGGGTCGGGAATGATTTGCCTCGGCGCAGAGACGCCGCATCCACTCTCGACCCCGAATCCCACCCGAGGACCCTGTTATGTAATCAACACTATCCCCCGGACACGTGAAGGCGTCCCTCTTCCCCATGGGGAATACTTTCCGGCAACTTGGATTGAAGATTTCACAAAGTGGTCACTCTGGCATTGGCATTGCGCTACCTGCTTTCACATGCATGTATGTGGTCGCTTAGCTGAGGTCTCGGTATGGATCAAATCTGAGAGACCTGAGGCGGCGCACTGAGGCAGGGTCGATGACGATGAGATGGCTATAGAATCAAACCTATGGGCGGGCCAGGGCTTTAGGTCCGTTTTGATAGTGTATGCCCGGTTCCTATGGCTCTTGATCGTCATCATCCTCGCCAGCTGCGGCCTTCGCAGCTTGCAACGCCTGCTTCTTCTCGCTGTACTTTTTGATCATGGCCTTGTTGTCAAGGGCCATCTGCGCCGCCTTTTGCCCAGCTTCCTTCTTGTTGATGTCCGTGCCTTTTCCAAGCCACTTGTTCTTCTCACCCCAGCCATCAAGGTACAGGTTTACACCATGGACAGTCAGGCGCTTGTTGAACTTATCGAACTTGGGACCGCTGATGTCATCTTCATATCGGAGGCTGATGCCCTTTGCGCCGATAAGTTGGCCCAAGCGAACCTTCGCATTTAGGACCTTATCCGGAAGAAGAGACTGGTCGCCCATTTCCAGAACAGCTCTATGTTCGGGCTTGTTTGAGATGGTCGAGATCTGGTGCTTGATCGTCATGCTGAACAGAGCCTTCAGCCACTCCCCGGCGCGTTGCAACCCGTTTTCTGGGTCTGAGAGGATGACAGCTGCGACATATGATTCAAAAACATCCCCGGGAACCTTCTTCCACTTCTCCTTGGACGCTTTGACTTCCTCTGGCGCCCTGACGCGATCGACGAGGCCGTACTGAGCTGAATACTGTCCGAGGTTCGCATTACAAATGAGAAGCTCCCGCAATTGAGATAATTTTCCAGATGAGAAGCCTCCGAAAGTACGGAACAGCAGGGATGACGAGATGATTTCAGCATATGCGTCACCAAGCCACTCGAGGCGCTCATAATTCAGGCCAGGTCCAACGGTGTAGTGTGTGAAAACCGCAGTCTCAAGCTTGGGGTCGCAGATGGCCGGCAACGGCGGCAAGGAACTTGCAATCTCATCGGTAGCAAAGGCTGACAGCATGAGGGGCGAGGGGATAGGTGAGCACGCCGGCGCAGAAGTAGATGGCTTTGGCGGGTGAATTGTCCTGTCGTCAGCATGCGTGTTACTCTATGAAAGGAAGGGTGAGCATCATCGACATAAATGAAGCGGCGGAGATGAACGTACAGATTGATTTTCTTTCGAAGCCTCTGGCGCGGCGTCTGCTGAGGCGACCTCTTCTCCAGCGAAGGCCTTAATGGAAGGCAGAACGTCTTGGCACGTGCCTTGTAATTTCGTTGTGAGTTTCTCTCGTCGCCGAATATCAGAACTTGAGTCTCCTGCCTGCAACGCGCTTCTCAAATCCTCGATCCTCTTGACCAGTTTGTTGGCATGCGCGAGCATGACATTGAGGGGTTCGATGTCATCTTTGGGCGGGCCATCGACATGAGGGCGCTTGCTAGACCCTGGCCGACCTTGCAGCTCATGCGTCGGGCCTTCTTCGCGTGTTCTTTTCGACATTGTGAATGATCGCAGATTTTGGGTCTGCTTCGAAAAGAGAAGCCCCTGCAGTTTCGGCAAACGATAGATTTCCCTCAAAGAAAATTGTGAACTTGATGATTTCAGTATTGAAAATAATTGACGATGTTCGCCCGGATGAAGATTGTACATGAAATGCATCTATAGAATCTATGCATCTGTCCCATATGTCGTTAGCAGGATAAATCAACTTACCGGATGATGAATGGTGGATCCGTCGCGTCACTTGGGCCAACCAGGCGAATTCGAGATTCGAGGTCGATCGCAAACTCGAACTCCATCTCGACAACGCTCTGCTCTGTGACGACAAGATGAGTGTTCCACGCGCCAGGTTGCTGGACCTGATGAAGGTATATGAACTCCGGGACGGGTCAATGAAAACTTGTCTGACATCAACAGGCCCAATGCCAGATCTTCGCGACGACATATAACCCCGAGGGCGTTCGAATGGGTAACAAGGTCCTCCGCCAACGACTCAAGGGCCCAGCTCTCGCATCCTATTACCCCCGAAAAGTCGTCGACATTCATACAGTCATGAAGTCGTTCGGACCTCACCTCACAACATTCGACTTGAAGAACGAGGAGCGTCTAGATCACATCGCTTCGTACGTTGGGCCAATGCAGAAGGCAATCTCGGACGGCATGCTGACCGATAGAACAGACTCAAAGCTCGGGGGAAGGGCGCACCTACGAAAAAGAAGACAAAGTGTCAGTTTCTCTCCATGAGCGAACCTTTGTGATAGGTACTAACAACGCCATAGCCCCGCCGAAGTCCAGAAAATAAATGTATACCACACGAAGCGATCGAGTCTAGACACTTTGTACAATACTGTCCAACAATATTTTACCCTACTGTTCTCTCAGAGCCCCCAGAACTCTGCTTCTGTCATGTTGACAGCGTTTCGTGCTTATGCCAGTGGGTGTTGATCGTGGTACGACCTCAGTTAGGGGTCGTGGTATGCGCACAGCGATGCCGGCCAGGCCTTACACATTGAACCGGCGTAACTGGCATGGACCTCTGCTGAATTTTTGCAACTGAGCTTAGTAGAACTCTTAGGGTCGCTTTTGACTCTGGGACGCCAGCTGGGATGGTGATGCTTGAGTTGCTCAGCTCATATGAACACATCATCCAGGGGTGTGTGCCTTGCGCAGTTGATGAGACTGTGAAGGCTGATACTTCATCCTTGCTACGACCCAGCGCGTCTCTCGCTAGGTGGACGTAAAAACACTCCTACCCCTTTCCGGCCTGTGGTGTATGCTGGCCTGGCGGTGCATCCGATTATCATCACGGCCATAGACACGGATCATTTAATGTTGCCTGTTGCTAAATGCTCAGTGTCTGGTAACGGGGTGCTTCCCTGCGTCGCGTTAACTGTCTCCAGCCCACCTAGCATCACACCAGCCCTCTCGCGCTCCTTCCTGACAACAAAGACGCCCAGCAGAAAGCATTCACTGGAAAGTGGTTCTAGGTCACTTTCTCTTCGGCCCAGGCATGGCCATTGAGATCACATTCCATCGTGCCTTACGTCAACCTTGTGAAGCTCGGTCCCAATATCACACGCGCGAACCAGCCTACGCATCACCAACAGCAACCGAGTTTTCTCTCACCGGGGGCGTCACCAAGATTCTAGTCATATCACGGGGTTTCCGCTGCTGCCCGTGAGAAGCTGGTGTGCAGCCTGTTTCGAGGGACAGACCTCTCCGTCTTGCAAATCTAACTCGTACTCAGCCTTGGAATTGCACTGTATTGCGACCGCTCCTTCCTCGTCGGAAACAAAGTATGCACGCCATGACCCGCCTGCCCTTTCCTGCTTCACCTTTCTCCTCCCACTAACCTCTGCTTTCGTTCGCAGCTATACCCAACCGACCCGCATATTACCTTCTGTACGCCCGTCACGCAGGAAATTGTCTCCGCCCCCATCCTAGAGGTATACGCGTGCGCGCAACACTCTCCTTCTCGCTGAAGTCGATTGATCGTTCTTGACGGATCACAATGTCCGACACATCGACCGAATTCAGTCCCTCGCCGGCACGCCGGCCTGCCCGATTCACAGCCAAGGGTGGTCTAAAGCCTCCTGACAAGAAACTTCACCTGCCCACCAAGTGTGCCCTTCCTTCCAACCAGGTACGTATTCTCACATGATGAAATTCATCTCCCCTTGGTAGTCCTGCACCGGACCAAGCGGCTCTATCCCGGCCTGACGCAACCCCTGTGGTTCGTTCTTGCCTTTTTCAACAACAGTGCCTGATTTGGAATTCAAAGGCTCTATCTCGCACCGGACCAGCAATCATCGTCACTTCTCCGCCTGCCCCCACCAATAGCACTCAGGTCAGTAGCATGCCATCTCATCAAGCCAACTTCTCCCCTCATTCTATTCCTCTACTGATCATTCCGCACCGACAGGACAACATCAAGCCCTTGAGCCTCACCGAACAGCTCCTTGCCCGTCTTTCTGAGCAGGAGGAGCGCTTTACGCAGCAGCGGAAAGCCCTTAAAGACACGTCTGGTTCCACTGACTTCTACTCTCGTGGCCTTCTCAAGATGGCGAGCAGCAACTCTCTCCCCGTCACTCCTACGGTCGGAGAGCATCACGCCCCTAACCCAACTACCCGACCCGCCAGTGTCGACCAGAAGGAGGCCAAGTCTATGGACGATGAAGTTGCTCGTCTCAAGGCCGAGCTAGCCCAGGCCCACAACAAGATCTCTTGTCTCGACCAGGAGCTCGTCCAGAAGCGGGAGGCTGTCCCCATGAAGTTGGAAGTTAACACTCAGAAGGCCAATTTCTCGGCTGTCGATTTCGTCGGCCGTCCCTCGTCTGCCGGCTTCAGGCGCGGTAATGGCTGGAACTCTCCTGATGCTGTTTACCTTGGCGGCGGCGATGCCATGAACGATAACATCAGCGATCGCTCGCGTGGTGGCTGGAGCTCTTCCAAAACTCCTTGGCAGGTGGCCAACTACGCCATCACTGAGCCTAGCCCGATCAACAATCACGTTGGCGGTGGTGTTGCGCTCTACAACAACAGCATGGATGTCAACAGTTCGTACCGCATGTTGGACAATGTACAACCGGAGAGGCTCGCTCCAGAGCCAGACCTCTATGTTCGCAATCACGGTGGCCGACGCGGCAACAACAACAACATTGGTGGTCGCTATCCCTCCTATTCGTATGGTGGCAATGGCTATACCCAGAGCAACTACGCCACTACTACGTATGCCACCAGTAACTACGCTCCCAGCAGCTATGGTGGCTACAGTCCCACCCCCAATCAGTTTGACCCCGCCATCGGGCACAAGAACAACGTTGAGGTGCCTCTGTATCCCACTTATAACCCGTCGAACAGGACTGGGCTCTCACCTCATGCTCTGGAGTTTCACTCCAACACGAGCTGGAAGGATGAGGTACGTATTGCGAAACATAGCCTGAGCCCTGCTTGGCACTCTCGTTCGGGACTGACTGGTCATGGCGCCCGTCAGGCTACTGCTGCCGAGGGACAGACCTTTCTTCCCACTACCGAGCCCATGAACTATCGCCGCCTCCTGGACAAGAACGCGTCGTGCGACTGGAATTACATTGTCGACAAGATTGTATGCCACAATGACCAGCAGGCCTCAATCTTCCTCCAGCAGAAACTCAAGGTGGGCACTCCTGACCAGAAATATGACATCGTCGAGGCTATCATTGCCCAAGCCTATGCTCTGATGGTCAATCGCTTTGGCAATTTCTTGGTTCAGCGCTGTTTCGAGCATGGTACTCCCGAGCAGGTTGTCAAGATTGCTGAAGCTATTCGTGGTCACACCCTGAACCTCTCGATGGACCCATTCGGCTGCCACGTTGTCCAGAAGGCTTTCGACGCCGTTCCCGAGGAATACAAAGCTATCATGGTCCAGGAGCTTCTCCGCCGGATCCCTGAGACCGTCATCCACCGCTATGCTTGTCACGTGTGGCAGAAGCTCTTCGAGCTGCGTTGGTCCGAGACTCCCCCTCAGATCATGAAGTATGTCAACGAATCTCTTCGTGGCATGTGGCATGAGGTCGCTCTCGGTGAGACGGGTAGTCTAGTTGTTCAAAACATATTTGAGAACTGTCTCGAAGAGGACAAGGTACGATAATTTCCATGTCCGTTGCTATCTTGCCGACTACGAGCTGACCTTTGACACACAGCGACCCTGCATCGAGGAGGTCCTCATCAACATTGACATTGTCGCCCATGGCCAGTTTGGCAACTGGTGTATCCAGCATATCTGCGAGCATGGTGCCCCGCCTGACCGCAGCCGTGCCATCGATCATGTCATCCGCTACGCGTCTGAGTACAGTACCGACCAATTTGCGTCCAAGGTCGTCGAGAAGTGCCTCAAGATTGGAGGCCCCGAATTCCTTGGCCGTTACCTTGATCGCGTTTGCGAAGGTCGTCGAGACCGCCCGCGTATTCCGTTGATCGACATTTCGAGCGATCAGTACGGCAACTACCTGGTCCAGTACATTCTCACTCATGCGGGCCCCCAGCACCGCGAAATGGTGCAGGCTCACATTCGAAAACACATGGTCTCTCTGCGTGGCTCCAAATTCGGCTCCCGTGTTGGTATGCTCTGCACCAACCCCGCTGTCGTCACCCGACCTGGTCCTGGCGTCGGGCCTGGCATGCCTCGCATGGGTGGTGGTAGTGCTGGCCACCGTGGCTTCGGCAACCCCTATCGCTAGCGAATGCGCAGCCTGCGCCGAGTTTGCAGCTTCTCGCTCCATGCTTCGGCTGTACATCCTTTGATCTTCTGGTTCGATCGCCCGACGTCTGCCAGAACTTTGGGCCTTCCCACTTCTCTGTCTTTCGCGCCGTCTGCTACCGTTCTTCTTTTCACATGGTCTCGCTTTTAACTTCTTCGCGGCAACAAGTTATGCGTCCCTTTTCGCAACATATTCCGTTGCAGCTTCTACCAGATTCACAAGTCATCGTACACTGGACCAGCTACCGCCGGCCCTAGTGCTTTGGACAAATCATGGTTACGAATGGTTTTGCAGTACTTGGTGATACTGCACCTTTTTGGAGCCCTATTCGGGAGGCTTGATGGTACATGAGAACGCCAGCCAGCAATATTTTTATGAGTTTCCTCTGTCGTGGTTGGTACGTTGTGGCCCACGGTCAGGATTTCTGCGCTCTCCCAGCCAACCTAGTTGGTAGGAAGTGTGAATTACCTGAATATACTGGATGAAGGAATGAGAATGATGACGCGAGAATGGAAACAATTATCATGTACGAATATTTGCGGCTATCAGGCACACCTGGTCCGCAACCTCAGCTGCTGAGGGCATATTTTCGGAAGCCTGTAATTAAAACTTGATAGCCTAGCCTGCCTGTGTCGTGTCTCGCGTGGTGTCTCCATGTATTTCGACTGTTCTGGTGCTTCCAACTGTCACTCTGATTCTTTGTCAACTGGCATGGGTAATAAGCTGACTGACTATCGGTAAAGTTTTTTTGGCTCGTGATAATAATGCACATTTGGAATGTGGTATCCCGCCAACTCTGCTAGTCATCGTCTTGACGTGCCTCTCAGGCGTCAAGTGGTGGGAAGCTGGCATCAACTACTGCCGGTGCTCCCTCTGCGGCCGGCGCAGGGTCAAGGTTCTTCTCCCATGGCTTCTTCGGCGCAGCTCTCGCGCCGAAAGGCTTCACGGCCTGAGGAATCGATAGTGTCAGTCAGGCGGAACAGGATGTGGATCAGGCCAGAGGGCAGAAACGAGAGAAGCTCTAGCGGCCTGACTTACGGGATCTCTGACAACGGTGTCCGGGATCTCAACGATCCCGGGGATGGGCAGGCCCTGCTGTATCCTCTGCAGCATCTCGGCGAAACCCATGGGATAGGCGGGCTGGTCGGCGCTCCCCGACTGCGCAGCCGGAGCGGCAGTGGGCTGGGACTTGTCGACATAGAGGTCTGCTTTGGGGGCGGAGGACTGCCACGCCGGCACGCCGGATGGTGCCGCTGCTGGCCCTGCCGGCGCGTCTCCTTTTGCGGCCTCTGAGGTAGAGTGAGATGCGGTGGTTGCCTGGTGGGCATACTCCTCCGGTAAGATGTCGGGTGGCGTGTGCTTGGGGTGATCTTCGAGCCAGGTCTTGTACTGGGCAAAGTCTATGCGCACGCCGACGCGCTGGGCATAATAAAAGATGCGAGCGTGGAGGGCCAGCTCTGCAGGCTCGCCGCGGGGGTTCGATGTGTTTGGGTCGCCCAGGATGGCCGAGAGCCCGGACTATTTTGAGACGATGCGTGTTAGTGAACAGCCAGGGGGCGAGGATACTAGTGAGGGGCTCGCAGTACCAGGAAGTTTTTGTCTTTGGTCCAAGGATATGTGTCGAAAGCCTTGAACGTTCCGTCTGCATCATCTATGGCCCTGATGCGCTCCGCACCTGCAAGCGAGGGCTCTGCTTGCGACATTTTTGCTGCTGTTCTGATGAGATGTGATTCAAAGTATGCCGAGGCTTGGCTAGGCCTGTGATGTTGGGGTTGGCGTCATGAGACGGGCTCTCGGTGAGAGAGTGAGCTCGAGCTCGGTGAGAGGGGAAGTGGGACAGATTGATAAGGCGATAAGCGGCGCCGAGCGTTATGCTGTGCTGTGCATCATCGGGTGCCTGTCTTGTAGGGACATGAGGAATCGAACTGTCACACACGTCTAAACCATCAGCCAGCAAACCGGGCATTCTTTGACGGAAAAGTCCATTGCGACTATCTCCACCCTGCGGCGGCTTATCAAGATAAGAATCAAGTCATCCTGATCTGCCGAGTAGACGCAAGGTCACAAGGAAGCCTCACCACGAAGCCGCACGTGATCTCCTTTCGTGGCCTCCAATCCAGCCACGGTCTTCATCTTCCGTCTCGGGCTCCATCGCCGAGTCGCAACGCTCCGGTTTTCTCTCCTCATTCCAGGCCCAGGATCCTCCGATCCTTGTCTACGTATCCTCCACCACCAATCCGATGCATCGCGCAGCCACCAGAGCGCTCCGTACGACCTACCGATGTACGGCGCGAACCTTGACTCGCAGTAGTCGACGAGGCCTCCTTCTGCCCCAACAGCCCTCTGCCGCCGTCGCCTACGGTGCTCGCCACTATCATCGCAACCCCGCGCGGTCGCCTCAGCACGCCGGCCACGCCATCGAGCCTCTCAAGTCCTCCATGTATATCCGCCGCTTCTCTGCCGCCCTCCGTCTCCGGCCTCGTCGGTTACGGCGCTTGGTACACCTACAACGGCAACGGTACCGCCAACGACAGCACGACGCTGTGGCCCGAAAGCTTTGTGACGACGGACCAGTGACGCCGCAGCCCCGACGCGGACGGTGCCTCGTCATCGGTGCCGGCGAGTTGCATACGGGCGCCTACGTGGGCGAGGGTCCCATTTCCAAGACGACGGGCAACGACGGCAAGAGGGTTGTGGAGATGATCACCCCCGACCAGGCGACGGAGAAGCTGCGCAAGACGGAGCAGTCCTACTTCGTCAACAGAGGACAGGGTGTTCTGCGCTACGACCTGGTTCAGCTGCCGAGCAACGACCCCATCGAGGATGACCACGCGGAGAAGATTGTCGAGGTTCCCGGCCGCAACGGAGCCTCAGACGTGCCCAACAGTGACTGGATGTTCTGGGGCGTCTTTGACGGCCACTCGTAAGATCATGTTCTGAGCAAGGATGACAGGGACACGTGAGCTAACCAATGCAGCGGATGGACGACATCGGCGAAACTCCGCCAAACGCTGATCAACACAGTGGCAAACGAGCTCAACGATACTTACAAGGCAGCGCCTGGCCACTCCCCTGCCGCCGAGGCTGTCGAGGCCGCCATCAAGGCAGGTTTCACCAAGCTCGACGACGAGATTGTCCACCAGAGTGTTGAAAAGGTTCTCAAGTCTGGCTCCAAGACTATGGCCGCTGAGCTCCTCCCAACCCGCTCTCTCTGGCTCCTGCGCCCTCCTCTCCTTCTACGACAGCCGCTCCAAGCTTCTCCGCGTCGCTTGCACCGGTGACTCGCGCGCTGTCCTCGGCCGGCGCTCTGACTCGGGCAAGTGGACCGCCACGGCCCTCTCCGTCGACCAGACGGCAGCAACCCCGACGAGCCGCGCGCATGCCCAAAGCTGCCCCCGGGCAAGGACTGAGTCTTCCACAACGAAAGCGTCCTCGGCGGTCTCGAACCGACAAAAAACATTTGGCGACGCTACCTACAAGTGGAGCCGTGACATCTCGATGCGCCTTCGCCAGGCCTTCTTCGGCCGCACCCCGTCTCCGCTGCTCAAGACGCCGCCCTACGTGACGGCCGAGCCCGTTGTGACGACGACAAAAGTCAACCCCGAGAACGGCGACTTCCTTGTCCTCGCCACGGACGGCCTCTGGGAGATGTTGACAAACGAGGAAGTCGTCGGCCTCGTCGGCAAGTGGATCGAGACGCAGGCCAGCGGCTCGTCGTCCAACTCGCAGTTCGACTCGACCTGGGCCCGCATCTTCGGCTCGGGCAACAAGCCCCAGCTCCCCGTCGAGCACGCCAAGGGCCAGGACGTCGGCGGCCAGAAGACGCCCATCCGCCTGCAGCAGTGGGGCATATCCCCCGACGCGCCCGAGCGTTTTTGTCGTCAAGGACAAGAACGTCGCCACGCACCTCGTGCGCAACGCTCTCGGCGGCAAGAACGAGGGAGCAGGGTCACCCGCGCTTCTAACGCTGCCCGCCCCCTTTTCCCGACGGTACCGGTACGTCGTCCCCGCCTTCCCCCTTTTGCCCCTGGCATGCCTCCCGTGCTTCTTGTAGCCCGAGTGCTAACGAACCATGTCTACAGCGACGATCTGACCGTCCAGGTCATCTTCTTCGGCAACGGCAGCAAGACGGGCGAGGTCGTTGCCAACCTGGAAGCAACGGCGCCCGAGGAGCCCGTCAAGGCGAAGCTGTAACGAGCCCCTTTTTTTTGCATCCCTAACCCCCTTCCCGTCGAGAAGCCACACTTTGATTTGTTGTGGCTGCTTTTTGTTTCTTCAGAAGGAAAAGCGCGGCGTTTCGCTGGATAGAGAGGCTGCGCGGCGCGGCATGGAGCACGGGTGCGAGGGCACGCCATCTTCGCGCATCTTGGGTGGTGGAGGAGGGTGTCGTCGTGGTCATTGTAACATAAACAGCGTGTCCTTGTTTTCTCTCTCTACGAATACAAGATCGACTGCTGCACGGCAGCGTTCGAATATTGTCATTATGCTTCGGCCATTTCCAGTATTAAAAGTCAGCTCGCTGCCGTGTTTCGTGACGGGTGGTCCTCTTGGTAAGTCGGAACCTGATCACAGAGTCTTTAGTGGAAAACTGTCCCTTTTCATCCACGTTCGGGTAGCTCATGGTGAGCAGCTTTTAATTGCGTTGCGTTTGACCTGAAGTCAAGCTACGCGTTTCTTCCTTTCCTACCCATAGCTCTTCTATCGATACAGCCTTTCCCGTAGCCTCCTCCACCAGTCTCACTGTTGGTACAGACAATCTGGCAGCTCGACCCGACCTGTCACCCCCGAGCTAAACAGACTCTTCTTGATGGTTCATGCTTGACAATCTTGAGTACCGTGCCCTGCAATACGCTGAACGCCATGGTCTCCCCGCCCAGCGAGCTATCTCTCTTTTCCTAGCATCTCGTCCGCCACTTACTCCATCGCACCCATGTCTCAAGCCAGCCGAGCCGTTTCGTCAGAATCAGATGGAACTTCCCATCCGTGCGCTAATGCTGACCGCTTGAACGCCACGATAGCTTCATCAATGCCATAATCAGCAACCCTCGCCTGGTAGGGGGCTGGGTAGTCCAACCTCGCTGGATGCGGGTCCTCGCTAGACATCGCCATGCGGACCTGTACCAGGACATTCTCGAGGCTCGTGGCAGGAGACCATCCCGAGTTGGTCAGCAGCTCCATGCACATGGCGCCGCCGTTTGTGACGTGTCCCCCTCCGCCGGCCATGAAAGGCAGGAACCGAGGACGGATCACCCGCACAAAGGGCGGCGACAGAGGAAACGAGCGGCCGAATCGCAGCTCAAGAACAACAGACCGAGCACCCGCACTCTTCATGTCTCGGGCGAGACGGAGCATAGGGTCAAAGCTGTGCAGCTCGACGATCCAATGGAACAGGTTTTCGATGCTGTTGAAGTCAATATACCACCCCAACTCGTGGAGTGGTGTCGTCGCCTGGATCTTTTGCAGCTTCTTCAATTCATGGCCCAGTGCCCGTCGACCACTGTCCATGGCCCAGGTGGGGACTGGAAGCTTAGGGAGAGACTTTATGTCAAGCGTTCCTGGTCGGAAGTCGGTTTTTCTGGAATTCAAGATGACAGCAGTTGTTGACGTAGCTTCCGGTCCACCATTTTCGGGGCCGATGTCTCCCACCCATTTTTCAAAATCGCAATCTTCCACAGAAGAATCGCCAGTCTCGACATCATCGAGAACCACATTCTCAATCGGGCTTGTGAGTTGTTGGCTTAGACGTGCGCCTGAGGAAGCTGTTTCGGGAATACCAACTGGGGCGCCGGCGCCGCTCATCTCCAACATTCTGGTCAAGGGGCCATATACCCGGTATTTGGGATCCTGTTTGAGATAGGCGGTGCCCGGTGCAACAGGAACCAGCTCAATGTCATCCTGGGGCCGCATAGCCGGGGCCGTGGCACTCTGTACAATCAGATATCGACACTGTATCCAGTCGACATCCGCAATGACATAGTGCGGGTTGGTACTGACGAACGCATCGGGGTTATTCACAATCTCACAAAGGCTGATGACAGATAATGGCTGTAGCTGTGACCTGACCCAACCATACGTGCCTGTATATGCGGGTGGTGCTGCGTAGCAGCTGCTCGTTTCCCAATACGGGCTGAAGTAGACGCCGTTGCCGAATGTTCGACCATTGACAACCCTAGAGAAGTCCAGGCCTTGGCGAATAATGCTGTGCCAGTTTCCCAAGGAACTTCCATGCCAAGCAAAGATCGTAGGGGCCGCTTTGGTCAATGAATTAGCTCTGACCGCCTCGATCAACCGCTGCTCCTTGTCTGGAGATCCTTGAGCAAATCGAAACTGGACGCATCGTGTGGAAATACCAGATAGCTTCTCGCACGCTCTACTCGACATGCTGTCTGTTGCGATGTTATCTGCAGAATCGATTTGCACAATCATGGATCGATTGGACGCAATGATCCACCTCAGCAGTGCCAGCGATGGTTTACCCATGCCAGGACAGTCTTCAATGGCGGCATTTGGCTTGCTCATGAGGTGTTGGCGCATGGTTTCAACGGCAGGCAAGCTACCAGTGATCAAGGCTAGAGAATGCGCCCTTTGATACGGGTTAAGCTCGCTGAGCTCATGTTCGAAAGGGTGTATGAAGTAGTCCTTTTTACCATCAACATGAATCGACGGATCAACTTTTGTAGAAGCTCCACTTGTTTGAGACGAAGAAGTGCTAGGGATGGTTGCGAAGCACTTGAACATGATTGCGTCCTCAGCGTAGTCGAAAGATACTACGACGCAGTGATAAGTATCGAATCCAGCATCCAGTGACAAAGTTTCCACTCTGGCTAGGAGAAAGACATCCCCCAGCTTCAGAGAGGATACTACCTCACTAATTGTACCATCCGTGCGGGTTCGGAACAATTGACGCTGACTGAAGTTGACGATACATTGATTGGAATCTTCATCAATTGCTCTTGAGAAGATCGGCAACGGAAGGAGCAGATTCAACCCATCAGGAAATTCCCGGAGCTTATTTTGCTGCAAGCTAATCATGAAGAATGTGATGAGGAGGTCGACGACAAGGGGTTGGCTAAAAATCTGATGTTCGATACTGGGGCCGAAGCCAAGAGACATGTACTGGTAGAGACACAGGGAATTGTCGCACACATAAGGGGTGATGCCGGCAAAGCGTCCGAAATCTTGAGATGGCAAACCATGCAGTACTTTGTACAATTGACAAAAGTAACGCAGCGCGAACTGCATGGCAAACAAGGGGAGAATGCGCTCATGCTTCGCGTTAGACAGGTTGGATATCTCCAGCAGGCCAAAAAAGCCAAATTCAGGGTTTCGGGTGAGGTAGTCTTGGTTGAGTTTGTAGGGCGCGGTGGGAGAGATGAGCACTTCAGCCTCCTGTCTGCCGCCACAGCTTCCGGGGCACTCGTAAGACCCTGAAGGTGGTCGCTCTTCGAATGGGCTAGCATTTCCAGGCTGCGCGTGATCCCATGATAGATTGGACTGGATTCGTAGCAATAACAATGCAGCAAATTCTTGTTCCATCCACAGATCCAACGAGTTTGACATGTAGAGGCGATCGAAATCGTCGTTG